TGCACATCAGTTACGTATAAACCTTTGATTGATTGATTGATTGATTGATTGATTGATTGAATGAATGAATGAATGAATGAATGAATGAATGAATGAATGAATGATCGACCGACCGACCGACCGACCGGTCTTTATTTTAAGAATAAATATTTAAGAATAAATATTTATTTATTCTTAAAAATATTTAAGAATAAATATTTATTCTTAAGAATTTTGTAGCTATAAAATTGTGTCTCTCTGTGTGCATCCCCTCTACAAGGCAACAAGCTGTTTGGAGGCGTGATCGGCCAGCCGTAGATCAGGCCTCCCAGTCCCGATGACATTACCCGTGACCTCAAATGGCCCACCTAAGGTCCCCCCAGTTCAGTTTACGGCTAAGCCAGGGTTGCCAACTTTTTTTGATGGCCATGCCCCTGCGCCTTGAGCAGCCTACATCAGACAGCTGTGCCATTTCCCATGGTTTCCCCCCCACACACACACACTAACAGGGAGAAACAGCCAAGGAGAAGCTTTGGCTGCTTTCTCTTTCTCTCTGTGCGGGGACGGCTGCCGAAGATGCTGAGGTAGCCCCCCCAAAACGTAAGTCATTGTCATCTCCTCTGAAGCAGAGGTGAACTTTGGAGGGAGGAACTCGAAGGTGCTCCCTCTGGCTAGAAAGTGGCTTTCTGAAGCACAAACGGAGCAGAACGTCCCCAGAAATGTTCCGAAATGCTTAAAACACGAAAAACCTTGTGTGGCCGTTCTTTGCCCGGCCTGAGAAGTTGAGGGGAGCTTTTGGAGCGCTCTCTCGGTGTGTGTGTGGCACCAGCCCAGCGCAGAACAATGGCCGAGCCGTCCAAAGCACGGGGCGGCCCCGTTTCTCGGCCAACGGGGACACAGTTAGACGGGCGAGAGACCGCTCAGGCCTAACCTAGTTTGCCCACATCTCTACAAGGAGCTTTGTGTCCCCTTTCCGCTCCCTCCTGCCCCCTTTTCCTGGGTCCCCCCCATCCAGATAATGGGGGCAGCCATTCACGGCCGGGACCTGGCCTCCGAGAGGGAGAGCTGGCGCAAGGTTGGGCTTCGGCCAAGGAACAAAGCGTGAAAGCAACCTCCATCCATCCATCCATCTTTCTTTCTTTCTTTCTTTCTTCCTTTCTTTCTTTCTTTCTTTCTTCCTTTCTTTCTTTCTTTCTTTCTTCCTTTCTTTCTTTCTTTCTTTCTTCCTTTCTTTCTTTCTTTCTTTCTTCCTTTCTTTCTTTCTTTCTTTCTTCCTTTCTTTCTTTCTTTCTTTCTTCCTTTCTTTCTTTCTTTCTTTCTTTCCTTCCTTCCTTCCTTCCTACCTACCTACCTACCTACCTAGACTCTTTCTTTCTTTATCCCTTCCTTCCTTCATTCCTTCCTTCCTTCCTTCTTTCCTTCTCTCATCAACTCCTTCCTTCCATCCTTCAAATCAGGAAGGCCGAATCCTGTGCTGCATCCTTCAAAGCGCCTCCAGGTCATTATTTTAAATCCCTCCTTTCTTCCTTGTTCCGTTTTGAGAACTTTATTTGAGCTTTTCAGGATCCAGAAGGTAGAAACGAAACAAAACATTGTTTGCAAACGGGTGGAAAACAGGAGGGAAAGCCTTGCTTCAGGCCCGTTTTATAGACCAAAACACCTCCTCATCCAAGCCGCTCGCTCCCCTCTGACTCGCTCTGCTTCAAACCGAAAAGAGAAGACCAATTTTTGTGCACCGCTTTCTGTTCCTTTGTTATGTGTCCCCCTTTATCCTTTAAGCTGGGCTCTAGGTAAAGCATTTCCTCTACACACATCCCTCGAAAAGGGGAATCTTGATATGATTCTGGATCCTGATTTTATCTGCCCTGTTCTTTTGCTTTCGATCAGTCTCCAGGAAATGAAAGCCCCAGCAAACCACAAACAGATGGCAGGGAAAATTCAATTTTGAGAGAAATCCTCAGGGTCCACTCCTTTATTCATCTTTCACCTGTCTTTCTCTCCTTCCCCACAGTATTCAAGGGAAGTGGCCATAAAATAAAACACATAACAGCTTTTTAAAAATACCATAAAAGGAGCATGTTGAGACACGGAACAGCTTTAAAAGCAAGTGGAAACCAGCAAGTAAGGGGAGGGGGAAGAGTACTTCTGCCCATGTTAGAAGTGCATTTTTGCAGACAACTGGTAACTGCAAAAAGTGTACAGCCCAAAAGGTCGGGAGGGCAGTGCAGAGGGAACCCATAGAACGTATAGACCAGAGGTTGCATGTAACTGCATTACAGTAATTAGTTACTTCTGGGGGAATGTGTAACATAGTGAGTCCTTATCAAATTACTTTTTAAGCAGCAAGTCACTCCTTAGCTACTCAGGCGTATGGAGTTGCACCCTGTTACTTTCAAAAGTTACTTTTTGAAGGCATTTTGAGCAGAATTGTTTCTTGGTTAATGCCTTAATTCTAAGTGGTACTAAAAGTATTCTACAGCTGGCCCTCCGATCTCCAGATCCAACATAATTATATTTTTAAAAAATGTTCCAGTGTTGTGGAGAATCACTACCTTTTCTCTGCCCTGAGATGCTAGCTTTCTATGGCAGGGGGTCAAGTGTTCTCCTCTTTATTCGGAAGCACCACAGTCCACAAGGTACAGCCTTTAGTCCACCAAAGAAGAAAAGAGTGGAGAAACCAGCCCATCAGGGAGACATGAAGGCAGAAATAGATGAGATAACCCATCATTGGAAGATGGAATTCCTTAACTGTTGTAAAGCATCTGAGTGCACAGGTCAAGCCTTCCTCACAGATTAGACTAGCTTTCATTTGTGCCAGTCCTTCAGGTCTTAAACACGGGCTATCTTGGGAGTCTGATACCTCAAGCACGACACTCTGCCTGAATCATGTCTCTCCAACACGGACATGCTTCCAGCCCTCATCTCGGGCTCTCTGTAGCATCTGTTTCTCTCCCAAAATCCTCTTCTGAAATATCGGCACCAGGCAATAGAGCAGCATGTTTTTTTTTAAAAAAAAAATTCCAAAGGGTTCACAGCAAAACAGCGCAAGAATCGTGTGGCACCTTTTAAGACCGACGGAATTGTTCCGGACGGGCTGTTTATCCATCGCCAGCCACTTCCTCCGGAGTGTGGCCCTTCCCGGCCTGTTTTATTTTTCCACTTGTGGGGCTGGCCTCGTTTTTCCTGTCCTTCCGTTGCTTTTCATTTCTTTCACTTATCAGCCGGGCAGAAACACACAAACGGCCGAGTCTTTACAGCAGGAGGAAAGCGAGGGGGTGCATGCAAGAAATCTCGTGACAAAATAATTCCAGAGTTCCACCGGAGAGAGAGATTGTGTCCTAGCCAAAACAAAGACGGGGGAATTGCATGCGGCTTCTACTCGGTCCCAGATAAAGTGGCAAACAGCATTTTGGCGAATCCTGTAATGCTATTTGATAGGTTAGCCTTGTAAATGTCATTCCACCCCACCCCCTTACTAGAAACCCTCAACCGGCCTGGGAGTTTCATTCCAAAAAAAAAAAGGTAACCTCCCCACGCACAAAGCCAGCTGGAATATGAGAGTTTGTTCTCTCTCCATCAGAAATGAGCCAGCCTTGTGTGTCCTCGGGCAAACCACCAGGTCCCAGAGCGCCCCCCTCCCCAAATAAAGGCATGGTGAACTAAATCTAGGTCCTCTGTCTTGCAGAGTTTTGAATTTCTGGTTAAATTCTTCTAAGCTATTCAACAGAAGTGCGGGCATTCACCGTGCAGAATAGCTTCAAGTCCCCCTCTCCGCCCCAGATTAGGCCACCCCTTTTTCTCATCAACCGGCACTTCCTGCCTCAATAACTCACTCGGAGACATTTGAATGAGAAAAAAAGAAAGAAAAGTTTCGGTTTCCTTACAGATGAACCAGAAAGGACTTATGTTTATTTTGGGGGCAAGGCAGCCTTTAATGGCCCAGGAGAGTCAATTATGTCCTTCTTGCACTGGAGTGACGCTCACAATTCTGGCCGCTCGGCTGCAGAGAAGTTATGAGTCATGCAATTCATTCCTTTGAAAAACACAACCTTCAAAGTTCTCTTTCCGTGTGTGTTCGTGTATATGTGTCAATGTTTAAAAGTTCCATTTTTATTTATACATTCCAGCACTTTAAAAGGGGCGTCCTTTTCTGTAAGGCAGGCGTGTCTTTTTCTCCTCTTTCCTTTTATCCCCACCACAACCTGGCGAGGTAGGCCAAAAGGAGAGGGGGCTTGGAACCTGGATCTCCCCAGATCCGACTTGATAACCACTGCACCGCACTGCCTTCCCAAAGCGCTCTGTCCTGTTTGAAGGGATCATGATGAGGACTAGTGTTTTTTCTTTTTAATGTTTGAAGGGATCATGATGACGACTAGTGTTTTTTTCTTTTTAATGGCCTTTGCCTGTCTTTCTCCACCTCCTGGTGGCCATTGGCGCGGGGCTGGTGAGGTCATAGTAGGGCCAGCTGGCATGACAGCCCTGGCGCCGGGGGCAACCGGGGGACCCCCAAGGCTGCTGGGGTCTGGGCAGCATCCAAAAGGGGCCGGAGGGGCAGTGGAGGTGGACCCGGAGGAAAGGGGAGGTAAGGAGGAGGTCAGGGTGGCCGGAGAGGCAAGAGGGTGAAAGGGGGTGAGAATGCCACGCTGGGTACCTTTAAAACCCCTCCTGGCAGCTTTGAAAGTAGTTTTCACCACCTGTAATAATAACCCCATCCCATCAAGTCACTTTCGATTTAGGGCGAGGCTTTTTCGGGGTTTGCTAGGTCCCGAGCGTATCCAGAAGTGTTTTACCATTACCATATTTTGCAGCTGGTCCAAATGTTACAGAGGCTGGCTGTACTCATAGGAAGCACACTGGGGACTCGAACTCGTAACCTCCCACAGACCGCTGAGTTATCCACCAGCTTTCAGGTGCCATCAAGTCCATTCTGACTTATGGCGATCCTTGTCACAGTTTTCCAGGTAGAGGGGACTCCGAAGGACAGTTGCACAGGCTGGCTGTACTCCTAGGAAGCTCAGTGGGGACTTGAACTCGCAGCCAGATACCTAAACCACTGAGCTATCTCTGCTGAAGAGATCAAGCAGCCAGCTAACCAAACATGGCTGCCTCTAGCAGCAGACTTCAACAGACTCGGTTGAATGCTTCCAACAGACCACCGAGAGGGAAAGAGTTCAGAAGCAGAGAGGCGGGGCTCTCTTAGAAATCAGGGGCAAGGAAACAACCATTGGTTACTGCTGAATAGATTGACAGCCCCCCCAGTCCAGAAAAGGTCCCTCCCAGCCACACCTATGAAGGGCAGCCTGCGAGGTTGCAACAAATGGCAACACATACCCATAGGCAAAAGAAGATGCTTCTTGTCCAACGCAGGACCATCTTTTAAGATTGTTGTCCTTCGCTTTTGGCTGTGGTCGCTGCCACTCCATTTTTTAGTAGACGCCTGCTTTAAATATTATTTTTTTTATTTTAAAAAAAGTAATATGTTTTGCAACCTGTGGGGAAGGGAGGAAGAGGGACAGGCAGGCCAGACGCGGGGATTCTAAGCGGATTGTGTCCTTTGGATTTGTTACAGAGAGAATCCTGCCCTCAAGTTTTTCCGCACCTCATCGTCGTTGCAATCAGGGGAACTGCTTTTATGAGGTAATTAAGAGGCAGCCGTTACAGCCTTTACGGGCTGGGGGGGTGGTGGAAAAAATTCCCCAGTTGTGAGATTTCCCAGTTCCCAGATTTGCTTCTCAAAATGGATCCGTAAAGGCAGCCTGTGGTGGGGGTTTCTAATGGCCTGTTTGCTTTTTTTAAAAAAAGATTTTTTTTTAAAAAAAAGTAAAAATATTTTAAAATATTTTTAATTATTTTATAATTAAATATTTTTTTACATATTTCAAAAAACACTTTAAAATATTTTTAAGATGTACATTAAAAGTCTCCCTGTGGCTGCTTCACATGGGTTGTTGAACTTGGTTTAGCTGGGGTTGCCAACTTTTTTCCTTGGACCCGCTCTTGTGCATTTATTTGTTTGCTTGCTTGCTTGCGACGAAGCTCAAGGCATGGCACGTGTTTCCCTTCCTCTTGCTCACATCCTCCTCACGACATCCCTGCAGAGCAGACCAGGCTGAGAGACGGTGTGAAAGAGTGCAGGCTTGCCGAGGGACTTTTGTAGCCAAGCAGGGATTTGATCCCTGCTCCTCCAAGTCTTAGCCCCCCACGCTCTAACCACTGAGCCCACAAAGTCCTATGGCTGAACTTGCTTTGTGAAGCAGAAATGAAACAAGGGTCATGGTGATTGCACTGCTTCCTTTCTATGCTGGGGGAACATTTCCTTCCCCACTCCACCCTCCCGGATTTCCAGGCAGGTTTGTCCCCTTTTTAAGCCCAAGGACCTGGGGCTGAGTTGTTTTTTTTTTAAAGGCGGCTGTCTGAATCCGCACCCAAACAAGCTTTCCAGATGGTTTTGCGATCTGGCCGGTCTCAAGGGGCGGGGAGTTCCACCGGCCGGGAGTCAACGCCTGGAAAGCTTCCAAGAACCAGGAATTCGACGAAGCCAGGCGTCCTGGGCCACCGTCTGCAGCCGCCGAGACAGAAAAACCCAGACTTTAGTCGACCGATCCTGCAACCTCGGTGGTAAATCTCCTCCTCCCCGCGCGGCGCGTCGTGTGCGAGGCCGTGCCTCGGCTTGCTTCAGAAGGTGTTGAGCCCTTGATGTGTTGGGACTTGTCGGGTCGCGGTGTTGTTATTTCGCCCGAAAGAGAAAGACGGCGCAGGAACGAGCCGGATGGTGGACTTTCTGGTTTCCTGACTCTCAACAACAGCCTGCCTTACTCTCTCCTTCTCTTGGGGAAACGAATCCCCCCCCGGCCGTTTCTGGGTGGCTGCAGAGGCGTCTTTGAAGGCCAAATGAGGCCCCAGAGGAGATGCCCGCCACAGGGATGAGGGCCACGACCCTCGGAGGCAGGAAATGGAGCCTTCCCTCTGGAATTCCTGCCTGATCCAGGAGAGAGAGAGAGACCAAAAGCCATTGTATCGCCTTCTGCGGAGAATCGGGCCACGCTGGACACCCACCGGCATCCCCTTGCGTGGCCAGGGTTCCACGGGACCCAGAGAAGACCCGAAGGAGTCTAAACGCTTTGCGTCTCCCCCAAAGATGGCCACAAACGCAGCCTGGCTTCCACACACCCCTGGAAAGGTAACCCCCCCATCTCTCCACTTTTTGGGACACCCCGTCTCTGTGGGACCGACCTCTCTGTCTGGCCACGTCCTGAAGAATGAGATTTTTGTTGGTTTGAAGCCTGGAGATGGTTCTGGGTGTCAGGCGAGGAAAGGGGGGGGACTCCGCTTTCCTGCGCCAGCTTCAGGTTTTGAGGGAGAAAAGGGGCTCTGGTGGGGGGTCCCCTCGGGGGGCCAAAGTTTCCATCGAGGGGAGCTGACTGAGCCGAGGTGGGGGGGGCTGTTTTCGTGGTCTGAGGAGTTTTGAGGGAGAAAAGGGGCTCTGGTGGGGGGTCCCCTCGGGGGACCAAAGTTTCCATCGAGGGGAACTGACTGAGCCGAGGTGTGTGGGGGGGGCTGTTTTCGTGGTCTGAGGAAATGCAGAATTGCCTCGGTCTCTATTGCTATACCTGGAGACCCTAAAAAGGGTACCCAGTTTTTTAAAACAGGAGAACTTAAGGAGTCTTGCAGTAACCCCCAAACACAGCAAAAATCCCCCCCCAGCATGGAATGTCATTATTGAGCCATAAAAAGATATATTTTTAAAAGGTTTTACATTTGTTTGGAGGCTGGAAGTCCTGAGAGAAGATCGGTTCCCCAATTCCGAGCTCGCCTGAGAAGGCGCTCTGTGTGACCTGAAAGCTGGCGTACTTTTGCATTACTGTGGTCCTCATAACCTTCAGCCTGACGCAGATTTCTCCTGGTCGCTCGTGAACCGCACATCCGCTTCTGGGCTTTTTCCCTTCCGATTTATAGAACGTGCGTTTCCGCGAAAATCATGTCTTTTTATTTTTAGCCTGCCTCAATTACGTTTATAGCGTCTGTCCTCCGGCAGGTGCTCTGTGTTATTTCTCGTAGCGCTAATTATAAATTGACCTGGCGTCCGAAGTGTGTGAACGACAGCCGTGGGACAGGCAGTGGCAGAAATAGATCTGTTTGGTGTTTGGGATAAGTCGTACCCCTGCCAGAAATGGCCGGCATCATCCTTCGGAACAGATTCACCCCCATCAAGAGGAGTCATCCAGAGCTGGAACTGGACGCCCGTTTTCCTGTGGGAAATGGGGTGGCCCACAGCTAGTTATGGGGAGGGAGGATAAATTGGGAAACCCACCCTTGCTTCAAAGTTTTGGACTGTCCCGATTTGGGGGGATCCCAAAGGAATGAGTAAAGATCGCAGCCTCTCCCCGGGAGTCAGCTGAGAATTCTCCTCTGCCAGCCAAAAATGCATCTCTAAACTTTTGTCCCTTAACCAGAACATTTTTTTGCTGTTTACATGAGGGATTCCTTCCCTCCGATGTGCCCTGGGTTCCCCCCTCCTCTGCCTTTTGCTTTCCTGGCATGCTCCTTTCATGGGGACCATTTAAAAACTCAACCAGAATTAAGGGAACAGGCATTTCTAGGAACCTTGTGTCCCTCCCAAGAGGATGAAAAAAACAAGCACAGCTAATTTATTTCATTTTGATGGTTTCTAAAGGCACAGGCACTCTTTATGATCGATGAAAATCCTTTCCACGGTGGGTCAGAAGAGAAATCCTGAGTTGGACGCTTTCGCGAACAGTGATGGGGGCTTGTTGTCTATTTCCAAAAACAGCTTTTGGCGTTTATGTTCCTCTCTTTCCTTTGGTCCTTTTGCCTCTTTTCCACTTCCTGCGATGGACTGGTCAGCGCCTTCAACATGGGGTTGCCCACACGCTCAGTTGACTTATAGTGCTGGGACATATCGGGAGCTGGTTCAGCGTCGTAAGGATGCACACTGGATCTCAGCGTTAAAACCCTGCTTCCCAAGCCCGAGATCCATCATGAGGAAGAAACATAAGGTTTTTTTCCTCAATCTTTCCCCAAACGTTGCGATGCCTGTCTCGGGACGTGGCAGGGTAGCTGGGTGATTTATCCGTTTACTGGGGGGGCACGGCCTTTAAACTCCTTTGTGACTGGATCTTCCCTTTGCATCGGCGTCGGTGTTTCTGGGTCCAAGAGACGGAAACTGAAAATTTTGGAAGCAAAATGTGAGGCGAAACAACAGGATGACAAAGAAAAAAAAGATGGAAGGAAATCCATGTGAGCTTGTGATAAACATGGGAATGCATCAAGATTAAAGGGAGGCCCAGCTTTATCTGTTCTTCATAGGCTCTTTGCATTTATGTTCCACCTTTTCCTCCAAGGAGCTACGCTGCTGCAATATTTAGGATTTGTGGCAAAACATCTTTTTGTTGTGTTTCATGGTCCATTTGGGAGTGCGAGGGGAATCCAGAGGTGGAGGGTTGTGGATGATGGACTAGATGATCCTTGCAGTTCCTTCTGCAACCTGACGATTCTAACTTCAGATCCAGAGGCTCCTGTGACACCAGGACTTCCCCCACCCTTCCTTCCACGCTTCTGAGTCATCGGAAGGCCGACACACAGCAACGAGGCCACGGACGGAGGTCACCGAGCCGTCAGGAAAAAAGTGACGCCTCGTGGCTCAGCCTTATCGGCCTGTCACATGTCTGTCAGCAGCTTGTTTGGAGGCTGATGTTTGTAACACCCAAGAGAGGAGGAGAAAAAAAGGAGGATTTGCTAGCTGGCATATTCCTCATGTCCCATCACTGGCGTCTCCCCGGCTCTGCCTCTTTGGCCTTGAACCGCTGTTCAGAAAGATAACAGGAGCACAACAATCCTGCGGAGCGGGTCAGCCCAAAAGGGAATGACGGCTCTCGATTCACCCCAGAGCATCACACAATTGTAAAAAATAATATAAAAAATGCACCTTTAACCAGAAAGCCTTATCTCAGCTGGATAGACGGATATATATTTTAGGCCAGATAGAGGACTATACTACCGATAAGGCTCAGCGTATTAAAAGCATTGCTTGAGAGTTTCATTAGACCATCCAAATCAAGGTTGCTTTTCAAGGCGGTCCCTCCAGGATCCCTTCGCTTGCCTACAGGCGCTAGATCCGAACCTGGAGCCACCTCTTTGACCCTGCTGCTCATTCTTGAAATAATCAAAAACTCAAAACCCGTGGACGGCTCGTGGTGCCAACGTTGTTGCAGAAAGAACGGCTGGATAGCTGCGTGGCTTCAGGTCCCTGGCTTCAGAGTTGGGAGTTCAAATCCCACCCCCATGCCTCCAAAAGGCGGGCTAGACTGGATGATCTCTTCAAGGCCCCTTCCGGCCCTGCAGTTCTCAGATACTTTTGACTACATCCCGTCCCAGCCTTCATCAGATCTTGCCTTGGATTTATGAGCTCAGGGCCCAAGGTCTTTGTGGCTATTTAACTGGTTTATCTGAGGAATATCTGTGGTTAGAGGCTGACATTTCCAGCGGGAGAGGAGTGAAGGAGAGACGCGGGGTCAACGTGAGGCCGCAGCATCAGCAGGAACAACAAAGGAAGCTTGCAAGACAGACGCCCGGCCGGCCCGGGTGGTGCGCCATCAGCAAAACATAAAGCAAGCCTTGCTCGTCTGCATGTCATTATGCGCGGCAGCCCTGAGCTTCATTTGCGTACCCGGCTGACGAGCAGGGCGGGTGCCAAACCAGAAACACTGGACAGGTTGCCTGGCAGGCATCATTGCAAAGCATGGCACGGTCCTGCCTTGCACCGCAAAGGGCTCGTTTCTTAGACAAAGTGATCTAAGTCCGGAAGCAGAACTGGTGTGTGTGGGGGAGGGTGGAACAAGCTGGGGGGGTAGATACCACAGAGCAGTCTCTTTGTCCACATCCCTGTGCAAAGGAGCTTGCTTGCATTGAGTCACCGTCCACAGCGATATTGCAGGCTTTTTTGTGTGCCTGCTCGGGCATGGAGCTTTGAAGGAAGTGTGTCACCAGAGGGAAAAGGTACTATCCATTTCTGAGCTGACTGTCTAGTGGAGATGCTAGGGATTAAAAGCTGGGGGAGGCTTCCAGATTCAAGGGCTTGAACCTCCCATGAATCTTCCAGAGGTTCACAGCTCCTCATTACCGATTTAAGTTGTAAATCTTAAATAATAACTTCCTGCCACATTCTGCTCCACCTACATGTTCTAATGTGTTTTTTTTTCATTTTTTGCACCTAAGAGCGCTCAGGAAACAATGCAAATATTTCGATGCGGTTTCGAGCAAGCCTTTAGTGCCTGAAAAAGAATTTAGTTTCCTTTTAACAATGTTGCCTGGGCCTGCTTTAATTTTCATTTATCTTTTTTAACATCCCTTTCATCCTGTTACATTGTTGCATAGTAAAGTCCATGTTTGCAAAAAGGGTTACAAAGTATTCTTTTTCTTAAACTAAGCAAATAAAAAAAGCACTTTTCGAACCAGGAGAGACGGGCAGAAAACAGGCAATATTTTTCACCGGGCGAAATCCTGCACGCAGGAGGCTCCCACGTGAACCAGCAAGCTGCAGGGTTTCAACAAAGGGTGTTTTTTCCAAAGCATCTTGCCTGCTTTGAAAAGTGCTTTTTTCATTTGCTTATTTTAAGAAAAAGAATAGTTTGTAACCATTTTTTTTTCAAACATGGACTTTACTATGCAACAGTGTAACAAGATGAATGGGATTTTAAAAATGTCCTACTTTTGACATTTCTTGAAGAAGTCTGAAGGAGAAGAGTTAGAATGGCCGCCTTCTGGGGACACTTTTCCTGTGTGAGCACGCGGGTCAGACTAGATGACCTTTTGGGGACGAAGCTATAAGAAATGAATGATGCACGTGCAACTTTATGCAAATCTGTGTCGTTTGTTTCCTCCTGATTTCTAAGTCGCCACCGGGCATAATATAAAACTCTGCAGACAATTTTTTTTAAAAAATGTTTGCATGCCTGTAAAATGGCTTTAAGTCTTAGATCTGGCAGGAACAAAGGGATATAATTGAAATAACTTGGTAACTAACTGGTGCATTGGTGGCAGACCAGGACGAAAATGCTGATCAGACCCTAGACGTTGCATGTTTGGACTATCTGGCTGAGGAGCCAGAGGTTGGGAATTCGAATCCCCCCACTGGGCCTCCTTGACTGGATGATGCAGAGGGTCCCCTCCAGCTCTGCCATTCTGAGATGATGAGGATGATTACAACTTTCAAAATGGGTGGAAGATACTGAACGTGGTAGTCCAAGAAGGGGGTGTTTCCAAGAAAGGCCGATGATTATCAATATGTAGAGGTTGCAAACTTAAAAATGACGGCTGTCGCTGGAATGGGTGTATGTACATTTTACCGGCCCAGCACCTCCTGCTGGCTGAGCCTTTCCCTCTTGGTGGTCCTTGAACCTTCAAAAGGAGGATTAGTTAAAGCATAGACTAATGGAGTTGGAAGGGCCCTCTTAAGGCTATCCAGTCCAACCCCTTGATCAAGGCAGGAATCTAAATCAAAGCAGATCTAAAAGGTGGTTGCTTAAATTTCTCTCGAAGGCCTCCGTCACTGGAGCGCTCGCCCCCTCCCCATGAGGTCATGGGTTCCATCATCATACTGCTGTTGCCTAAATTTCTCTCGAAGGCCTCTGGCACTGGAGCGCTCGCCCCCCTCCCCAGGAGGGATTCCGTCGCCGTACTGCTCTTACAGTTAGGAAGTTTTTCCTGATCTTCAGCCGAAATCTGCCTTCCTGTCACTTGATTGTACCTGGCACAGACGAGGACTGGGCTCCCTAAAAGAGGGCTCTCGGCCACCTTAACCTATGCACTAACACTGGAAGGTGTAGGGAAAACAGCCCCTCCCCCATGCAAACCCATTATTTCAAAAGCGACGAGGTTTGCGATGTGGGGTGGAGTCCCCTCTCCACCTCAAGCTGGGAGCTTTTGTGTGAATAATGAGTTTTCTTGTGGGGTCCCAGAGCAGAGGCCCCCAGTGCGAATCACGACTGGACCGTGGATTTGCTCTCAGATGCATCCCAGCCCCCCTCTTCTCTTACAGAAGGAAATATTTTTGCAACTGCAGAGTACAAGGGGCCGGGGGGTGGGGGGTGGCACACACACCTGATCTGTGGTTCCCCATTTCCGTTGCAGACGATCCTCCATGCCACACAGCAGCTACTACCCTAACGGTGACTTCCGCCTTCTCTTCTCTCTTCCCCCCCACCCCCACCCCCAGCGACCAAGTTAACATCGCAAGTTCTCTTCTGCCTTACTCAACGCTTCCAGACGCCAGTAACGCCCCATGGAGCCCCGCCGGTTTTCTCGCCTCGCCAGCATCCTGATGTTGTCCGTGGCGCTGGCCGTGGATTTGATGCCGAGGCTGACCTTCCGGAGAGGTAAGTGACCTTTGCCAAAAAAGGCGAAGGGCTTCCGGAAGCGAAAGAATTGGCCTGACCTCGAGAAACATCACTTTCCAGGGTTCAACATTCAAGAGAATCTCGGGGCACCAGAGGGACGTTCTTAAGAACAGCTGAATGTTTCTTTCTGTGCTGGGAAGTTGCTTCTAGTTTATGGTGACCCTGGATAGCTCAGAGAGGTAAGTGACCTTTGCCAAAAAAGGCGAAGGGCTTCCGGAAGCGAAAGAATTGGCCTGACCTCGAGAAACATCACTTTCCAGGGTTCAACATTCAAGAGAATCTCGGGGCACCAGAGGGACGTTCTTAAGAACAGCTGAATGTTTCTTTCTGTGCTGGGAAGTTGCTTCTAGTTTATGGTGACCCTGGATAGCTCAGTAGGTTAGGTCTCCAGCTGTGGGAGTTCGATTCCCCTGCGGTGCCTCTTGAGAGAAGAGCCCGTCTGGGTAGCCTTGGGCAAGCTGCACAGGAGTCCCAGGGCCACCCCGGAAGAAGGGAAGGGAAAACCATTTCTCTTCCTGGAAAACCCTGGAAAAAGGTCGCCATTAAGTCAGAATCAACTTGATGGCCCATGATTCTTTCTTAAAAGGGCTTTCTCTGTGGGAGGTTCAAGGTTTAGCAGGGTCGTTCCCTGGTGGGAGTTTCCAGGGTACAACAAGGATTGGAACCCAGGACTTTTAGATCTTAGCAGGCTGGCGGTCGCTGGACACCAAGCTGTCATGGGATGGATTGATGTGTGTGAACAAATCTTGCAGGGTTTCTCAGATTTGGCCGAGTCGCTGTGCTTTGCAATCTGCAGAAAATTCATTCAGGTCTGGGCAAAAACTCTAGCCCAGAATAACGGGGGTGGGGTGGGGAACAAACCTCCCTCTCTCTCTTCCAGCGGAGAATAAACATGATTTCCACACATCATTGGTTTTCATGGAAGAATGCAAAAAAAAAGTGCAAGCATTTATTACGGCTGTAACTTGATTAGGAACTTTAATGGCTTTATCGTTTAAACCGGTTTGCTTCTAATGGTGCTCGGCTCCAGCTGTTTTTCAGGGGCGGTGGTTGAGATTCAGATGTAATTAAAATTGATATCTGTGGTCTGGGTACACAAAGGCGAGGCCGCCAGCTGACACCCTCCCTGCTCAAGAACTTCAAGGGCAAAATCCAATAATTTTCAGTCCCAACCCAAGCAGAGCGCTCTTGACGGAAAGGGCCTTGAATAAGTAAATACATGTTGCTGATGCTATGTGCCCTCCAATTGCCCTTGATTTATTGTGACCCCTTGAAGGAGCGACGTCCAGAATATCCTGCCCTCAACGGCTCTCCTCAGCTCTTGCAAACTCTTGGCCACTGGAATCCTTGAGGGAGTCAGTCCATCACGTATTGGGTCTTCCTCTTCTCCTGCTGCCTTCTGCTTTTCCCAGCAGGATGGTGTTTTCCCAGGGAATCCTGTCGTCTCACGAGGTGCCCAAAGCAGAACAGCCTCCGTCCTCAACATTGTTGCCTCCAGAGATCATTCAGGCTTGATTTGATCCAGGACTTGCTAACTTTTGGTTGTTTAGTCGTTAAGTC